GTTGGCCTCGCGATTAATACGGTGCTCAGTGCTGCCGAGGTAGAATGCAGAGGGCCCCATAGGTGTTTGACAGCACCCTTAGGGAGCGGGTGGATCTGACAAGAACTCGAGAGAGAGACTGATCTCACGGGCAAATATGAGTTTCAAGCCCTCTTAGTCAAAGACGCTGAAGAACGGCATCGTGATTGACAAATTCTGTTTGTTGTTTTTATTCAAGAACTGAAATCCCATCCATCCAGTCGGGGGCTTGGAGAAGCTCTTTGACTCCAGCCTGGAAGACTCTGCTGCTGTCCAGAAGTCGTGTGATGAGCTGGGAGCTTGTCTCATGGAGGTGGACAAGTCCAGCCAGCCTGGTAGATTTAAAGCATGGATCCACCACCGTTCTATCCTGCCCTGCATATTGTGGCCTCTGCTTGTTTATGCAGTCCCAGTAACAACAATGGAATCCATCGAAGGGAAGATCAGCTGCTTTCTTCATAAGTGGCTGGGCCTTCCTCAAAGCTTCACCAGTGCTGCCCTGTATGGTAAATGGACTGTACTTACAGGTCCTACAGCTCATGAAAACCCAAAATGCCTGTCCCAAAAAATTAGCATATCATGAAAAGTTTCTCTAAACAAGCTATTAACCTAACCATCTAAATCAACAACGTAACTCTAAACACCTGCAAAAGATTCCTGAGGCTTTTAAAAACTCCCAGCCTTGTTCATTACTCAAAACCGCAATCATGGGTAAGACTGCCGACCTGACTGCTGTCCAGAAGGCCATCATTGACACCCTCAAGCAAGAGGGTAAGACACAGAAAGAAATTGCTGAACGAATAGGCTGTTCCCAGAGTGCTGTATCAAGGCACCTCAGTGGGAAGTCTGTGGGAAGGGAAAAGTGTGGCAGAAAACGCTGCACAACGAGAAGAGGTGACCAGACCCTGAGGAGGATTGTGGAGAAGGGCCGATTCCAGACCTTGGGGGACCTGCGGAAGCAGTGGACTGAGTCTGGAGTAGAAACATCCAGAACCACCGTGCACAGGTGTGTGCAGGAAATGGGCTACAGGTGCCACATTCCCCAGGTCAAGCCACTCTTGAACAAGAGACTGCGTCAGAAGCATCTCGCCTGGGACTGCTGCTGAGTGGTCCAAAGTTATGTTCTCTGATTACAGTAAATTTTGCATTTCCTTTGGAAATCAAGGTCCCAGAGTCTGGAGGAAGAGAGGAGACACAGAGTTCACATTGCTTGAGGTCCAGTGTCAAGTTTCCACAGTCACTGGGGTGTCATGTCAGCTGCTGGTGTTGGTCCACTGTGTTTTATCAAGCGCAGGGTCAATGCAGCTAGCTATCAGGAGATTTTGGAGCACTTCATGCTTCCATCTGCTGAAAAGCTTTATGGAGATGAAGATTTCATTTTTCAGCACGACCTGGCACCTGCTCACAGTGCCAAAACCACTGGTAAATGGTTTACTGACCATGGTATTACTGTGCTCAGTTGGCCTGCCAACTCTCCTGACCTGAACCCCATAGAGAACCTGTGGGATATTGTGAAGAGAAAGTTGAGAGACACAAGACCCAACACTCTGGATGAGCTTAAGGCCGCTATCGAAGCATCCTGGGCCTCCATAACACCTCAGCAGTGCCACAGGCTGATTGCCTCCATGCCACGCCGCATTGAAGCAGTCATTCATGCAAAAGGATTCCCGACCAAGTAATGAGTGCATAACTGAACATGATTATTTGAAGGTTGGTGTTTTTTGTATTAAAAGCACTTGTCTTTCATTGGTGGAAGGAAATATGCTAATTTTTTGGGACAGGAATTTTGGGTTTTCATGAGCTGTATGCCATAATCATCAGTATTAAAACAATTAAAGACCTGAAATATTTCAGTTGGTGTGCAATGAATCTGAAATATATGAAAGTTTCATTTTTATCATTACATTATGGAAAATAATGACCTTTATCACAATATGCTAATTTTTCGAGAAGGACCTGTACTCCAAGAAGAGGTCTGAGCAGGTGTGGAGGAGCGTGTGAGTAGGGCTGTGGGACTCCGTCTGCAAGGAGCGTGGACAAGGTGGGAAATCATATTGCAGCACAAGATTACCTGTTCTAACATCATACAGGCAGACTTTCATCATATCTGGTTCCTTGTGTTGGCTGTCTACGATGCCCTGCCAAGTCCAGCAAACCTTCATGTCTGGGGGAAGAGTGAGACACCTTCCTGCCACCTTTGCTTCAGAAAAGTCTCCTCAGAACACCTCAGCAGGTGCCCGATAGCACTGGCTGATGGTTGGTGTCGCTGACACCATGACCAGGTGCTAAAAGCAGTTGCTGAGAGTATAGCCTCAGTCATGAGCACCAGCGAACTCTATCGTGCTCTGAAGAAGGCGAGTCCCATCATCAAGCCTGGAGAGAAGCCCTGGGACCGTCCACACAGCCCGTTTGGCAGCTGCGTGTTGATTTGGGAGGTTCACGTCTCACATCGCAACATCTCTCCAGCTCCACATGCTTATCACCTCTGAGGCTTCAAAACACCTGATCATGCTAGAACTTAGTGCCCTGAGAAGAACAGAGTGAGGAATTCAGTGAGAAGAAATGTGCAAAGTAGCAGGAAATAGTGGAGGACTGCAGGGGCCGGGGCAGGAGCTGGAGCAGGGCGGGCCCAAGGCATAGCAGCAAGGGCCACTAGAGGGCCCCAGAAGTGGAATAGAATTTTTTTTTTTTTTAAATAAAGATTTCCATATGATTCTATTTAATATTTTAAGTTCAGCTTTTGCAAATTGTTGCATATATTTACATAGTTTTAAGAACTAATTATTCAACTTCAATGTTCTTTCTTAAACCCATTTTACGTGGTTTCAAGTATTTGTTCATTTACATTAAGTATTTCCTAGATTTTTTTTTTTATCATTTAATTTTTTCTGTTTTTGCACAATTTAATTTATTTTTATGCATCTAAGTTATTTTATCTGTTTGTTGTTGATCTTGCACTACAAATTATTTTGGACATTACTGCTGCAGTTCTTTGGAACCAAAGATAATAAACCAGACGACACGTTTGCTGTAAAATACTGGTGTTTGTTCTTTTGTTACTTTTAGTACCACATGTCAAACTCAAGGCCCGTGGGCCAAATCCAGCCCGCGATAACCATTTCTGTGGCTCTCTACACCCTAAAGGGCCACAAAGGCAGAACTTCAAGATAACAGTTGTGTGCTTCAATATTACTTTATCAATCCAATCAGTTTTTATGTGTATAATACCAAATTACTCAAACATGAAATATTTAATTTTTAGAGGTAGTCATTGAATGCAGAGAAAGTTTTATTTTACCTGTTTGTTAATAGGTCATTTTATCCATACATTCTGCCATGTCCGGCCTTTTGGGGACATTCATGAGCTTGATGTGGCCCAAAATGAAAATGAGTTTGACACCCCTGCACTACATGGTATATACATATAGGATAAACGGGACTGTCAGAGATGCAATGAGTTTACGTTAGGTGAGTGAATGATCTGATCTGACTGTTGATTGCAGTAAATCATATTATTAGCAGAAATAGAAGGCCCCAAATCAAATTTTGCTTAGGGCCCCATGGAGGTTTGGGCTGGCACTGAGCTGGAGGACATTCTATGAGCCCATAGAATTAGGATGCAGAAGCTTTGCAGGGCGCTCATTCTGTAAAGTCCTCGGTCATTTGAGCATTACTGGGGTAGCCAAGAGGAGGGCCGTCCAGGCCGTTAGCAAAGCCGCCACTTTGGATTAGAGGGCTGATCCATGGACTGCTTCTGGGACAGAAGTCGGGGACGGATCACCTCCGACTGGGTCGCCCGGGCAAGGATGTTGTGAAACACCCGTTGACCCCAGTATGCTGATGATGCGCCCCAGTGCATCCTAGAAATGTTTTTTTTTTTTTTTTTACATAGAATAAACCTGGAAAATACTGTACAATAGAGTAAAAAAAAAAAAAAAGAAGTAATCTTTGGCATGAATTTAAAATAAGGTTGAAATACTGAAAAACTGAAATGACAAACACCAGTACTAAATTTAGGCAAAGTTTTGGGATACTTTTTTTTAGGTATTTTGATACGAGAGTAATGTCATTACACATTACATTTCACTACACTTCAGGTAAAAACACTTTTAGATTAATTTGACTACAAGTTGCTCTTAAGTTAAAGTTTTCACAGTCACCAGAAGTTTATGTAGATTAA